AAGATGGTACTAACAACTGCTTCGCTTGACGCTCAGCATTAAGAGGTCAGTGTTAGAAATGGTCGGCCTAGTGTCAGTATAATGTGACTGGATGGGACAACATGATACATGTATGCGGCATGATTCCCCAGTGATAGACATCACTATAAACTGCCACACTGCAGACATCGTTGCGATATGACTGAAAAATTGTTAAAGCTATGTTAAAATCACAATCACATCACATCATATCACATCACATGGGTTGTGTTATGAGTACATGTTTTATAAAAAATATTCTGATTTAGAAATATTTTATTTTAAAATATATTATTTTAATTCTGAATTATTTTTGTTTTAAACAACTATAATGAATTTTGATAATATTAATGTCGCTCTTTCTGCAATTAAAAAAGCACAACATAACTGTATATTTGATAATAATAATCCTGAAACAATTCTGTGTGATTTTGAATTATTAGAGCAAGGGAAATTAGAGAATAGACATACTTTTCCATCTGATGATACATTCACGAAGTTTATCCAGCAGGCAATGCTATAGTCGTTAGCAGCAATTACAGATAATCACGTTAAAACTGTTTGTACCTCTCACATGCTATTGACAAAATTAAGTTGGAATTATCGCATGAATAAGAACAGAAAAAGATTGTGAATTTTTGTATAAGACAGTTGAGGGAGAATTGTGAAAGTGATAATGATAATGAAGTTGGACCAGAGACTGTGGTGATGGCTAAAAAAATCCCTGGCAAAATTGAATCAGTCGAACTATAAAGCTTATTCATTTATAATACAATAACATTCATTTTTATTCAGGTTCTGATAACAATATTTATTTAAAATAAAAATATTTTAAAATCTGATATATTAATAATATTTGTTCTGTTCTGGTATGATAATTACTATTTAAACCCCATCAGAATTTTAAAAAATATTAATCCGATCCGAGTTGGATTTTGACAATTTTAATTTGTTTTACGATCACTCATTATGTTCAGATTTATACTTAAATCTCATTTTGCAAATCCAAAATGTGTCCTATTTGAAATGAATGATTGATAATAACGGATTATGTACATACAGATAAACAGGGTTAATTGGTTCTGATGCAAGTCTATAACCAAGGGGCACTTGATGGGTAAATCAATATAATATATATCCTTGCTGGGCCTGGCTAGACTTTGAAAGATCTACTTGATAACTTCCCTCAGTTAAAATCACATACTAGATTGACTGCAGTCGTTGATGTTATACCAACAATACCAGGTGATATCTGACGGCCTCCACCGTAGGGATTGTTATTATCTTAGAGTCTAACCGGTAGCGTTGCTATTTTGTCCATGATTGATTTACTCCGGGAAAATGTTCTTCAATAAAATGAGTGATTGATCTTTTCGTATCGGTATTGCCAAATCCTGGTATTGTAAATGATTTTAATTGTTCTTCTTCATTTTGTATTGTTTAATAAACAAATTTTGTATCATATCCAAGTCTAAACTATAATCACTATCTATAACACCCCTACTCTCTTAAAGCGTGTAAAATTATAACATTAATAAGTCTTAAATCTATCACAACAATGTTTAAAATGTTTTATAGTTTTAATTATATGTCGGTTTACACCTTCGCTGTAATATTGTAGTAAAGACGAAAATAAACTTTGTAGTTTAATAACTTAATGATCATTCTAGAGTTTAATTGGGTCTGACCAAATCAAAGATTTTCTTCGTTAATGTGAATTTCTACATTAACAGATTTATGTATCTATTCTGATTTATAATTCTCTACATTGGAGCTCTTGCTAATATTCTAATCGAACAGCTGGTACCCACGGAAATTTACTTAGATATTCTGGATCTTTAATATACTTTTCTCGCTTGTTTTAAATTTTTCTTGTTTTGGTTCTGATTATAAACGAGGGCAACATCAGGCCATCCTAACACCGATCTGATTGAACTTTGATAAATATCTACAACATTAACATGGGAATTTATTTCAATTTCTGCTGATAAAATTGGTTAGTAAACAGTAAATACTATTTTAGATTCCTTTCTAGTAATATATATATATATATATATATATATATATATATATATATATATATATATATATATATATATATATATATATATATATATATATATATAATTCTGCTTTGGAACTCATAATCAATCTGTACCATTTGATAACTGCCCATTAAAATTACAACAACTTGTCAATCAGGAGTTCCATTAAGTTAATTCTTATTTGCAAATACCAGTGAATTGTTTGCTGGTAGTCTACCAAATGATTTTGATTTGATATTTGGTCATCTATGATAAATCCGTAATTGTGATAGTGCTATTTCACTTGCTAGAATTGCAGTTGGAAATCTAACTCTAAACTCTGGACTGATTGAACTAAATGATTTCATTGTATATCATATCATTCTAGAGTTTAATTGGGTCTGACCAAATCAAAGATTTTCTTCGTTAATGTGAATTTCTACATTAACAGATTTATGTATCTATTCTGATATATAATTCTCTACATTAGAGCTCTTGCTAATATTCTAATCGATCAGCTGGTACCCACGGAAATTTACTTAGATATTCTGGATCTTTAATATACTTTTCTCGCTTGTTTTAAATTTTTCTTGTTTTGGTTCTGGAATTCCATTATAAACGAGGGCAACATCAGGCCATCCTAACACCGATCTGATTGAACTTTGATAAATATCTACAACATTAACATGGGAATTTATTTCAATTTCTGCTGATAAAATTGGTTAGTAAACAGTAAATACTATTTTAGATTCCTTTCTAGTAATATATATATATATATATATATATATATATATATATATATATATATATATATATATATATATACACCAATCTGATTGAACTTGGATAAATATCTACAACATAAACATGAGAATTTATTTCAATCACTGCTGATAAAATTGGTTAGTAAACAGTAAATTCTATTTTAGATTCCTTTCTAGTAATATATATAATTCTGCTTTGGAACTCATAATCAATCTGTACCATTTGATAACTGCCCATTGAAGTTACAACAACTTGTCAATCAGGAGTTCCATCAGGTTTATTCTTATTTGCAAATACCAGTGAATTGTTTGCTGGTAGTCTACCAAATGATTTGATTTGATATTTGGTCATCTATGATATATCCGTAATTGTGCTAGTGCTATTTCACTTGCTAAAATTGCAGTTGGAAAGCTAACTCTAAATTCTGGACTGATTGAATATCATTGTAGTTTATGTATGTGTAGTATTAGTGACGATCAGTTGTAATAGTTCACACGATCTTTGATCTGACATTATTATAATTGTTATTATTTTAAATCAGGAAGTTTTGATCATTCATTTTATCTGTGGCTATTGTCAAAGAATATTTCGTTGTAAATTTTTATTATCATTATGATCTCCTCATCGAAAGTTTCAACATCACTAAGATATGACGAAAGATACCATGATAGTTTTATGCGTGCAGACGGTGACGTGTGCATTTTTATTATATACTCGTGTACTTTTGTGTTTGTACATGTAGCTATCTTTTTGCGACAATAATTAGGATACCTGCACATGTTGTTTCCTTTAAAACGAGAATTGTTACAATTGCAGGTGTTGTCATTGTTATTGTTGATAGCAATACACATGCGGATACAATGATAACAGAAGCTGAATAAAATATTATATCAATGATGACCACACGCCTGCAACATTTTTCTACTTTTACTGTATAATTGTTAGGATATTTTTATATTTTTTAGTTTTGTCTGATTCTCACATACTTGATTGTATCTGTAACGATCCACGTCAATGTGAGACTGGGGTCCTTTGGTTTGATTTTTTTATAATTAATGACTTTGTCATTTAATTAAGTAATTAATTAAGGAGTTTCGGCTACAAATTCCAAACATCACCAGTAATATGCTGCGGTTTATTTTTTTATCAGATGCTTCTAGTAGAAAAGTTCCATAGGCATCTTTAGTTAATGCCACATATACAGTTCCAGAAAAATTATCGGTTGAATGACAGCATAGATATGTGGTAAATATACTAAGTTTCACACCGCTAAATACAGACAGCCTATATACATCACTGACTTCCGCTGTACGTTTTGATAGTTTTATTTTGCGGTGTTCATGTTGCTGATAATGATGCTAGTGTGTATACCAAATTTATGATCTGCTTTAGAGGAATTTTAATCCGAATCATTTTTCAACAATATTAGGAATTCCTCTAACAATATCATTGATTTATGTGTTAATGACAGCATGGTTAATATATACAACCGCTGGACTTCCCAAAAAATTCATTAATATATCGGTTTATATGTTTACGAAAATTCAGAAACGTTTGTACGTGTTCACTATAATATTAATTATGAATGCAGCAATTCCTTCTTTGATTGCAGTTAATGATGTCACCGTCGGAATGTTGCTATCCTCGACGTATTTTTTCGTTGCATCGTCGAAATCTGATTCTCGTGTTCTGAGGTTATTGGTACCATTATTATTTATGTTGAGAAATGCACGCTGACTAAAACAAATTGAGATTTTTGATCATCGACGTAAATTTTGGTTGCGGTGTATGTATTTGTGGCTGGGTCTCCAAGGTATGTAATTTTATTTTTATTCATAATAATATTACCAATGAATGAATCACCAGCTTTTTATATAATTGTTTACTGACTTACCGGAATATTGTATATTACCTTGATCGGCAAAATTAAAGATATTTTTTAACATTCGCGGTGGAAATTGGTATAAGTGCATCTGACAGTTGTATATTACTTGTCTTTAATCATCCTTGTTTATCGTGAAAAACAATGACATCATTTCGATCCACATTTGCGATATTTAATAAATCATTGATTTCATTTCTGAGCTGATCAAGAATTACATATATAGATAAGTTACCTTACTGAGCTTTTCCGATAGAAGATCTTCCATAAATATCCACCATTATATTTACTAATATCTGTTTCAAACGTTT